AAGTAGTAACATCTTCTCACCTCCAGATACCCCCTCAGCTGTTTCTCTTGTTTAAAAAGTGTGTAAACCCTTGCTCAAGGTGATCAAAGGTGGTCATATTATTGTAACTTTGACGAGAAGGGGTGATTGATTATCTGAAAGGTCTCTTTGTGCTTCTTCCCCCCTTAACTTGGCAAAGATTCCAGGCCGGCTTGTTTTCCTTAGTTGAACACTAATCTAGCATTGAGCAAGCAAAGCTGTGTGCATGTGTAGAGGGGTTTACTCCTCCTGGGTGGCTGGTGTGTGCATAAGGAGTGATGCAATGCTACTGCAGTTATATGATCCAAAAATGTAGGAAATCAAGGGGCTCGCATGTCTAAACATATGTATTTCATCTGCCTGGAGTTATAACACCTTGTACATGTAAGCTGCTTTCTAGGTGCCTGTGATCCTAACATTCCAGCTGGGTAGTTTGCACTTGTTTTCAACAACAATTAAAAGATGTTCTGGAAGTTTTGGATTCTACAGTACCTTATGTGGCAATTGAAGACAACCTTAAAGCAATAGTTTGACATTTGGACAATAAGCGTAATTTGCTTTTTTTGCTGAGAGTCACATGAGAAGATCAATATCATACTGGAGTGGTATCATTGTTCTCATCATAGCAAATTTCCCAAAATGTTGAACTGTTCCATTTTATTTTCACTCTCTGGCACTCTAGCTATATACGTGTATATACTGTATATATTATTATTGTTATATATATTATAGTATTATAAACAATTCAGTTACAGCTTCACTGACAAAATAATTCACTCTGTGGTGAATAAACACACATGTTTTTGCTTAGATAAATGTCACATCAAAACGCCATGAATTGTCTTGGTCATGAAGGCTTTTGTAATATCAGTCAATATAAGTGTGTAAACAACTCAAGTTGGGACGGCAGCTGCACTACAGGCGCTGTTTGCAAAAGATGACATTTTCAGCTCAAGAACAGAAAGTCGAGTGTGACCCAGGTGACATGTCAGCTTCCAAGCCCTTGATTCATTGTGACTCACTGGTTCCTCAGGTCAGCCTGACAGAGGTTAAAGATGCCTGAGAACTGACTCCAGTCACACCTTTGGGATTACAGAAGGCAACCTTCAAATTCTCTCTCTCTCTCTCTCTCTCTCTCTCTCTCTCTCTCTCTCTCTCTCTCTCTCTCTCTCTTCCTCCCCCTCTGTTGATCCGAAATCTTTCAGCTTTCCAAGACATGACCAAGGTCATCGGGTTTCTGCATTACAAATTCCACTGGGGGCCAAATACTGACTGGCAGCGGTTGGCTCAGACAGCACAAAGTGGCTTTTTCTGTTCTGGTTTCATCCCAACACTGAACTAATCAACGTTCAGGTGCAAGTAATTAGTACTTGCCTTGCAGATAGATTTAACTTGTGCCCCATCTAATTAAAATAAATCATTTGATTTAAAGTGCAGGCTGCTCCGGCTTATTAGTGTTTATTGGTGGAATCAATTAATGCCATCAAAAGTATTCTGTTTTATCCAAACAGAGTGATAGAGTCAACTCAAAGGCCATTGCTGTGTTTATTTAATTCCCCTCTGCTGGATCATTTAAAAAGAAAAGAATAAAAGATGAGTATTTCGTGGTGTTGCACCGATTACCTTTTTTCGTCACTGGATGATCATTTCAGCTGGCGGTCTTAGTGTGTCATGTTGTTATAAAATCTTCTAAAACTGGGAGGCTTGGTCTGAAAGGCTGCATGGTTCCACTTTGCTTCTCTGTTGTGATCTATGTGCCGCCTGCCTGTGGGCTTTGATGTTGAGTGTGTGTGACATGTTGAATGGCGGCTGACCTATCTGGGACAAATGTCTGAGTGAGTTTTAAGACAGAATTTCTGTAGAATCACACATTCACAGAACCGTTACATCTGAAATGGGATGCTGTGGAGAGCAGGGAGAAAAGGGCTGTATACGTGTGTCATCTTCCGTTCCGTTGAAGCCAGTAAATATTAAGATCTGAGTCTGTGTGGATTTCACAGCAGTGAGAGACATGAGTTGATTCTGGTCCAGGTCATCGGAGAGTTCTTTGAGATGGATGAACCAGCCTCGTCTCAGAATGTCAATAGAGGTCAACTCTGCTGACCTAATTTATTTATTCTAGATATCGATTTGTAGAATAATTCAGAATATACCTCTTTGGTACTTGCTTCTGTCATCCAACCAGGGTAATAGCAGCACTTCCGCTCCCACCAATGGCAGTAGATGAGTGTCGGAGGCATAAGTAACATATGGCGTCATCTGGAGACTTCCGCCAACTTTTTAAGCTGCCGGCAGCCACTTGTCTTTTCCAAAGCTTTTAGTAGTTTTCAGCAGGAAAGATATGTTGGAGTGTGACTTAGGGGCAGTAGTCTGTTTATTACTGTGTTAAAGTCAGAAGGCTGAGTCATCAGTGCATGCATGCTGTTCCTGCTCTTCTCTATATTTCTCTCTTTCTCTCCCTCCATCATTGCTGCTGTTGTTTGGATCAACACATTTCACATCTGTGTATAATTTAACACGTCATCCCTCTCCTCGTTTCCTCAGTGGGGAAGAAAGGCTGCAAGAGGTAAATGATCAAAGAGGATGTGTGTGAGCGTATTCACGTGGATGCCTGACAGCTAAGAGATTAGATTTCCTTTATTGGTTATTACTAAAACAGTCCCTTAAGCTCTCTATCTCTCTCAGTCTCTCGCTGAATTTGTCAGCAACAGTCTGTCCTGTCTCATATCTACGCTACAGTTTCTTGAATGCCTTTCTTAATGATTTTTCTTAAAAAATAAATCCTGAACTTTTGCCATTTTCAAACTGCAGCAGAGATAACAGAGCAGCTGGTGTTGTGTTTGCGATGCTCCGTCACTGTGTAGTTAGTTGTTGGTATGCCATAAAAATGGCATCAATCAACCACATAATGTGAAAGAGAAAACGTTATGATTGAGACTGAAATGAAACTCCATATGTAACCATAAACAGGTGATAAAACCTAATCAACATTTCTTAGAAGAAGAATAACAGAGTGTCTCCAACCACAATACAAGTGTTTGTCTCATACTGATGGATTATATTAAATGTATAACAATAACAATTTCATATGTCTTGTACTAATAGTACTAATTTCCACAATGTGTTGACAGCAGAAACAGGTACACTGTGGTTAACATGCCAAACATCATGGCAGGCTAACAGAAATACGAAATAATGCATGTTGTGTTTCAAACTGTTGGCCTAAACTGATGAAATCCCTTTTCAATGGCATGCCAAACATCTTGTCTGGGAGAAGGCCCGCAGACCCTCTCATTTTTACAGCAGTACACTGCAACTCTATTCTAAACATTGATGTAACCCAGACCATCTGAAATCAATGAGTGCATAGAATGGCATCATGGACACAGCTTTATAAAGATAACTTCAGGCTATAAAGAGAATTTTCCACCTTGCAAACTGATAACTGAGCTTATCTAGGATTGTTCTCTTGAATCTCTCCATTGCTATTCATCAAGACCACTCATCATCTTCCTTGCAGAGCAACTTTTCCTGCTTTCCAGCCCATTATTTCATCTGCGGTGCATTAATATGTGCCGAGAGGAGAGAGCAGGCTGTGAGCTAGTGAGCACCCGGGAAAAAGAGACACAGAGAGAGACAGAGAGAGAGAGAGAGAGAGAGGGAGAGAGAGAGAAGAGAAAATATATATATGGGTTAGAAGTGTTATGCGAGACTGAAGTTTTAAATTGAAACAGACAGGAGAGATAAAAAAGCAAGAGGGAGGATGAGAGCACGAACATCGGGGACAAGGTAACATGACAGAGCAACAGAGCAACCGTGATCTTCGAGATGAGAGACTAAAGCAAGAAATAGCGAAAAGAGGTGTAGATAGAAAGAGATATCGAGAGAGAGAGTTAAATGGCTGTAGCATATGACACATCAATTTCATCAGGGTCCCTTCAGGGCAACTTATGTGACAAATTTTGTGTCGAGCATATGGTGGTATGTAATATTGATGGCACACAAGTGCCCTTCCCTCGATGTGGCATAATAGCCTTGCAGTGATTTTAAAACAGCTTTTAAAACGCTGTCGCTCCTCAGTCTCGTTGGTTTTGGTCATTAAAGATTTAAAGACAAGCATTTGTTGCCCCAAAGTATCAGAAGGAAGACTCACTAGAGAAGAGGAAATCGGGGATTGAAAGAGAGAAGAATGTCAAGGAAAGACAGATTTGTGTGTGTGTGTGTGTGTGTGTGTGTGTGTGTGTGTGTGTGTGTGT